TTCAGTTTTTCCCCGTTTTATTAATGACTCTCAATGTAAAACGCGAATATGATATTAAGATAAAAAAAATAAAAATAAAAAAAAATGTTGAGCAACCTTTTCTGTCCATTATTTCCCTTAAAAATCCAAAGTAAAATTATCGTAATTAACGTACAATATTTGGCATCATTCATCGCCAAACAAAGTATTTTTCTAAATTAATACAGTTATTATTCAGTTATTTTTATTATATAATGCGTGATAGATAAAGTTTATGACACTAAAAATATCATTTAATGATAACTTTAGACTATGTTAGATATAACAAAACATATTTTCTGTATGGTAAAAGGTTTGTGGTTTACTCTGATAATTACCGATAAAGCAGTACATGTACCAAGTGGTAATATTGCCTTGAAATAAATACAATTTCATTTTAGTAATACTGGATAAGTAGCATCAGTCTATTATCATTCCTCTCCGTTTTTTCGTTCCGCTACGCAAACATTACTAAAAAATTTATTGGCCAATTGAATTCGAATTTCAACTAAACATCTCATGTTATTGTGCGGTGGGAAGATTAGGTTCTGTTCTCCTTAACAGATATTATTATATAACAATACTATCAATAATACATAGAAAAGCGACCAAATGTAAAATATCTTTTCTGATTTTTTGTTTCAAATTCGCAGTTCTGGTGATTGTTTCGTTGCTCAGTTATTTAATGATATAATATGAACAAGATTATGTTATTTATGCAATCACGTGCTTTCTAAGGGTTTCTGCACATGTTTACAATGACATTTAATATTAAGAGAAATGAAATATTTGTTTTGTACACGTTTTCCGTTGTATTAATGCAAGGCTGTAATATTACCATTTAGTATTTTCCATGAGATATTGTAAATCAAACACATTTGAAATGCACGAAACTTTATTATTAAGTAGAAACTTAGCTTCAACCTTTGTTCGACAATAAAATCTGTTTATTTTGTGCGATTCAATGTAGCCTTTATTTGAGAATGAAGTGTGTCTGTTTCTTTTATTATTCATGCTTTTATGTAGAGACAGACATGAAGATATTTTTTAACTGATTATGATGTTTTACAGCCTATCAGTTCAACTGACTATCACTCACCATGTGCTACACTTTCAAAAACGCCTTCATTCGTGTTTAACTTACACAAAAGTACTCTTCTCAAAAGATAGGTCAAATTATATAGTGTGTACAAAGGCGACATATAAGCCATATTTATTTTCATATTGTAACTTATTTTTTTTTGCTGTCTATCAGTCGGAAATATTTCATAGAACATAAAACAAACAAACAAAAAATTGTATTAAGGAAGCTTTAAAACCCACTAGCCCGGTCTCATTTCACCTTTAAATATTGTTGCACATAAGAATTGCTATAAAACAAAAACATTTATTTGTTTATTACAAAATGTATTTTTTGCAATAAGAAAAACACATATAATTATTTTGAATTGTAAATTTAAGCAGTTGCTCATTGATGTTTTGTTATTTTCTGAATTGTTGTTATGTTTATTACAAACATATAGAACTAGACTTGCAGAGAATGATATCTTAAACTGGTACATGTAACAACATTGTATAAAATTAAACTTCTCTTTTTTGTTTGAAAAACTTAAAAAAATACTTTGAAATGCAATTTTTGCAATACACTTTAAATTTGGAAATATTAAAGTATAACTAAATATTCTTAAACAAAATGTACTTTTTGCAACTGTAACTATATTGACTGAAGATTAAGACTATTTTGGCTTAATTTGTCCTCTCAATATAGACCTAACATCGTTTTATATTCCGTGATATAATTTTGTGCCCAAGTACAATATATGTATGAAATCATTGAAATTGTTAATGTACATGTAGTGCGAAGAGCAGTTTTTATATATCGACGTGTGTTGATTTTTTTAAAATTGATAAATGCGTACCTGTAAATGGTCAATAAATTGGGTTAAAAACAATAAAATATGAAACAAATGATGACGAAATAAGTACATCAATTTCTTATAAATTATCGTGCCGCTTTACGCTTAACTATGATCATCATTGTTGATGTAAAACAGATTGAAACATTAAAATTTCCAAGGAATTCAATTTATTTCAGATCATTAAGAACCTAAGAGGCAAATTTATTTTCTGCCAAGACGTAAAATCTTCAAAATGGAAATTATTACAAATGAACTTTTACTCCTTCTGTGATATTATAGGGAACGACCTAATATTCAATAAATACATTTTCATAGAACATAAATCAAAGAAACTTTATATTGATTATGGTTGAAATGAAAAACGTGTTCTTTTGAGAAATGTAATCTGATGATTTTTTTTAGGATCATTTCAACTATAAATGTAGTGGATTAGTTACATTGTAATTTAATTATTTTACAAGTTTGACTTAATCCTGTCATTAATTTCTTACATGTTATAAAGATAATCACATTCAAATTGTTTTTACAATTATAATATACACAATAAAACAATAAAAATGAGATTCCTCCTTTCATTCCTTTTTCGGATATATTGAAGACCGTTTAAATTGCCTCAGAATTCAGGATTCATTACGTGCAGTATTGACATTTTGATTTCAGACTGAACACAATTAGGATAGAAGCAAGGTTTTACCCAATTATCAAATGCATGCACCAAATTGTCGGTATATATTTCTTAATAACACTATGCTGCTAAGACGTTCAATCGTCATTACAACTTAAAGGTTATTTGATTTAGGACAGCTAAAATTTGCTCTCGGTTATGTTTGTCATCATTTCTTACAAAAGAAACTAAATATTTGCAACAGATACACGACGTCATATATCAGAGTTCAAATAGGCCTTTAACATGTTCCATATTTAGGTTTTTTTCTTCATTCTTTCAAAACACAGATAAATGATAATTCTTATATGATACAAAAGCTTGCATTATGTTCCTTATATTTTTGTGAATGATATATAATTCCTAAGATTATTCGAGTTAAAGTAATATTTGAAAAAAACAACAGCAACAAAAAACAAAAGCCGTATTTCTTTCTAAACAGTTGATATATCTTATATGATAAATATATTTTAATTATTTCAGATAATTTAAAGTAAATAGAATCCCCTGAAATGTTTGTATTCAAAATTATTATATTCCATTAACTGTGTACTATTTTTCAGATAACTTACAAATCACTTTCAAAATATGCCTTACATCATTGGCTTATGTTTCTGACATAATGGAAACCGTAAAACTCACTGACAGATATACTGAGGATGCACTTTAGTTAACCATCAATCATATTTTACAGCTTCTGCTTTGAATTTAATCAGGCAAAGATGCTACACGATCATATGTGTAAGTATTTACGGAAAATGTTTTTATTTGATACATGTAAGACTTTTGCAATTCATTTACCTTTTTCTTGATAGTAATCTATGATTAAAATAATCAGATTAAAATAATCATAACTTACAAAAACTACACATATTGCTATGTTTTCTTTTGATCAAGACATATATTGTGCGACATATGGTATAATTAAGATCTTATGTTTAGAAAAAACTACATCTACGTTGAATGGAGCTTTCCCTAGCCATGAACAAGCTACACATTTTCATCTGCAAAAATAACATTTTAACCTTATCCCTGTAATTTAAAAGGAAGACAGCTTTGCTTTGTTCTAAATCAATTTTCAAAATTTGACAGAAACCTTTTAGCGTACCATGCTTCAAATGCGTTTGAACAATCGCTAATTAACAATGTTTTATGAGTATAGTTTTTATGCATCAAAACTTGACATATTTTTTTTCATATAACTACTGTATAATATACGATTATTGCATCTGCGATGACGTTTTTTTATGTCATCATTTTCTGAAAAAGTACACTTGTCATTTTGTTATGATAGCCTTATATCATCATTATAGCAGTTGTCAGTTTCGTATAGATTAATATCACTAGCTTTGATTTGGCAGCAACTCCATTTTCCTCAGACTAAAATGACAAGTAAAATATATAACAGTTGCTTTATATTTCAAAATGTGACATATTCTGACATATTTAACCCTTTCACTGCCATAGGGACGGCTTAAGCCGTCCCTGTTATTGTCGGCGTATTTGCCATATGGATGGCTTTAGCCGTTTCTATAATAATAATAGTAATAATAATAAAATAATAATAATAATAAAAATAATAATAAATGTAAAGAAAATTATACAATCGACAATAATTATTATTATACTAACATATTTGGAAACATATGTAATGATTATAATACTAATAACAAATAATAATAATTATATTAATTAATAATATAGTAATTTCTTAGAAAACCCTCTGGCAAATAGGTGAACAATAAAACAATAACCCTCTGGCAGCGAAAGGGTTAAGATTATCCTTAAATATAGTGTGACCAACAAGGTTCTTTGGCGACTTTTTTAGGTTCAAAATATATTGTTTTCATTATGTTTTCTTCTGAATTATCTAGGATTGCAATTTCTCTCAATGTCATTTTTAATGAAATCCACATTTTCTCTCTTTTACCTAGTTTCTAGAAAGGACGTTTTGTAATAATTCTAAGATGAAATATATGTGTGTGAAACTTTTACAAAGCAGCACTGAGCAAGAAAGACGTTTTTAATAATGTAAATAATATATACAAAGGTTCTTTTACCATACAACATACAAATAAGAGTATATTTCCTATGCGAGGGAGGAATATTAGTTAAGGACAAGCTGTGAATTGAAATATTTTGTTCTTAAACTAATGATAATGCAAGCATTCCATTTTTTTCGTACATTTAGTATCTAGAAAATATTTAGTATGATACTAAGAAAGATGATGTTTCTTTGTTATTGACAGGAATGTATGAGCATTTATACGTTTGAGATTTGACACCAGTGAGCATATTCGAAGAATAAAAGTTTCAAACCGTTTTATAATTAATTCTTACTGCACAGAGTGAGTATAATTTTACAACCTCTAAAAGAATAAAAAAAAACAGTAACAAACCTTTTCTGTCCATAATTTCCCTTTAAAAACCACAGTAACATTATCGCCATAAGTGACACATTCATCGCTTTTTATGTATTGAAGAAATATTCTCGCTCAAAATTCGATTTCGCCAAACATTCAACACATTCGCATTTCAAATAATATTTCCCATCATAAAATGTAATGTCTAGTTTTTCCAAACCATAATACATGTAATAGTATTATTCAAGTTATATGCTAGATAAATGTTTTTGAATAAACATAATTATTCGAAACAAGCAAGTGGTAACTTCCAATATCCTTTACAAAGTCATGTAATTTCCATTTATTTGTAAAATGTTCATGGTAAACTTTGATTACTGCCGATAAATCAATGCCAAGTGGTAAGACAAATAAATCCAATATCTTTATGTCCCAGCTTAGTAGCATCTGTCTGTTGTTTCTATTTCACTACATTTTACCTTCGCCGTGCATATAATGCCAATAAAGTATTAAATACGTTATGTTATTGAACGTTTCTTTCTCATTTAATACGCAAAAATCACTTCAGGTTTATGATATAAAAAGTCCAATGGGGACCGCGATGGTAAACTCTTAAGTGGGTTTTCGAAGTATAGTCGGTGTTCTTAAAAAATGAGGACGGAACTCCATAACGTTGACAATTGTTTCACCATGAGGCTACAGAACTGTTTAAAATCAGGCTCAGTGGTAGAGTAGCGGAAGGTATTTAAGAGGTTATGAGTTGCAAGAAATACATTTTATTCTAATCAAATGTTTTCAAGAATTTGATTTTCTCTTTTTTTCAATATCAAGTTCAATAATATATAAGATACCATATTTATAAACAGATAAGACAGAAAACGAGTTTAAAATTGTACGTTTTATACAAAAAGAATTGTGGTTACTGCAGCTAAAGTTTTCATAATAAGAGTTTTATATTAAAACTAACGGATGTTATTAACAATTTGCCACTTAAAGAACATTAAACACTCAGTGTTACAAGAGATAATGACACTAATTCGTGTACAACTTTAACTACGTTCGAAGTATAGTTCGCACATGAAAGCCGGAAACTTTTGTTATTATACATTCATCTATATATATATATATATATATATATATATATATATATATATATATATATATATATATATATATATATATATATATATATATATATATATATATATATATATACATTCGAAAGCAATTTGTTTGGTTTAGGTCAAGATTTTTAGCACTTAATACGATCATATAACCACAAATATGACAACCTAGGGGAAAATATTAAGTTGTGCTACTAATATGTAAATAAACTTAAAGGAAATCAAGATCAAATACAAATAACTTTGTTGAAATGAGTAATAAAAGAAACAAAACAATGAATACAACATTAAAATGCATCCACTATTCAGTTCATAAATCTGATCTGATGATTGTACAGAACTGGAAATAAGATAACAATAAGTGTAACTTTTATGATGATTTGCGTGAAAAAAGTACAATCATCCACTTTGCAAATACATTTAGAGAATACATTATACTAATATTGACAAATAAAACTTATTATTATAATAAGTGTTACATCAAAACATATAAAGTTAAATTTTTCATTATATTCGTAACATTGCTTATCGATTTTTAAATTGTAAAATATTTTATAATTCTTTTAATTTAATTACGAGGTATCGAACATGTATATCCTGCGCTTAAAGGACGATTGGGCGATATGATTAGATAATGCTTTTCAGATTGAGAAGAAGTGCATGTAGCTAAAACACGTTCTAAGGTATCAAGTTCCATAGTTTCTGGTTAAAAATTAAAAGTGTCTGTCTTCCTCTATCGTGTACGCTTTTATTTATATATGTAAACAGAAATAACTCTTGAACAGACATTTCTTGATTTTTTGATGTTACTTTTTCCTGGCAAAGCACTTGACTGACATGTCTCTGGTCAAAGATGTGTGAATTTTAAATATAGTTTAACAGTTTATAAGTACAACAGTCTGTCAGTAATATTACACTTTTTAAAGAATGCCATTTTTCTTGTTTATATAAAGTTCTTTATAAATATCTTCTTCTCGTACACTGTTATGACCTTTATATAGAATAAAAGTACCAGTAGTAAACGACGGTATGTCTAGTTTCAGTCTATTTTGTAAAATATGTTACCAAACGATAGGTCTTTTACAAATGTTTTAAAAACCTTTCAAGGAAAAGCTTTTAGATCAATAGCCATGAGCCATTTACATTTATTTACAATGCACTTAGTAATATCACCACAGATTATGTTCAATTTGTTTAACATTTATGTTGCATCTATATCAAATGATCCTTTAGAAGTATGGGGATTTACGATGTCTATACAATTATAAATGATTACAAAGAAATCTTTTAAAGTGGGTTTGTAATGTAGAAATGTCTACATGCAATGCTTCTTGCTATGGTGAAACCGGTTCTTTCCACTTTTAATATTAGGCAAATAAGGATAGCAATTATAAACAACTATAGAGCTAGTATGTCCCATCCCAAATGGAAATGAACTGTTGCCTGATATAAAGTCACCAAAACGAGGTTGAATCATTAAAGTAAATCATTGGAAACTAGAGCAAGTCGCTCTCGAGATTTGTCAAGAATTATTGTATAGACGATGTTTGAATTATCATCGTCAAGTCTCAATTTTTTTCTTTGAGTACTGTCCTTCATATGGAGAACACGTGCCATGTGTTTTTAAATGTAGATGAGATTCTTGCGGTCATTTCATTTTAATTTCACAAAACTTAAAACTTAATTAATATTTTGTTAAAACAAATTAATATTCCCTATAAAAGAATTGATATTTCGTAAAAACGAATTATGATTTCGTAAAAACGAATTGATATTTCGTAATTACGAATTAATATTTCGTAAAAACGAATTGAAAGCCGGGAAAAAAGTGTCGAAAATGTCACCTTAGGGTGAAACAATTAAATAAAAGGTAGCATTTTTAAGTCACAACTGCTGATTCAATATGCAATTGATGCGTGAATTCTTTTATACAATTTCTTACATGGCACTATGATTTTATAACAGCTCTTTTTTAAGATGTTCTGAAAAGAACACTTAGTCTTGGCATTCGGTTCTGTAATGTTAGCTAAATGCGTGATATCATTTATAATTCATCATGGTAGCCGGCTGCTTCTTTAGAAATTAATTTCAATTCAGAAATGTGTCATAAGTTTCATTATCCTCTGACAATATGACACGCAAATGATATGAAATTCAACAAAATACTTCAAATTGTGACATGTTCTTATATATTTGATTAAGAAAGTCCTCACGTGTTCTTTGACCAACAAGGTTCTTAGAATATATTTTGCTTTCAAAATGTATTATTGTGATATATTTTCTTCCAACGTATTTTGAGCTAGCACAATTTCTGAATTTGTCGTATTAAAGTGAAACAAGGACGTATTTTAACATTTGTCTCTCTTTTACTAATTTCTTGAAAGGAATGTTTAGTAAAAAATTTTGAAGTTTGTTGAAACATATACTTTTTACAATTTCTTTAAACTAATGTACTATTTGGTCATGTTATACCTCTAAACTTAGTTATACACAGATGTATGCATGAAGGGACAAGTGCATAAAAGTGGAAACATTGAGTACAGTGACATAATTGCATGCATATTAAATAAAGTCTAGTAAATTATTTATTGGTTTGCAATCCAAAATTATAATGAACATTTTTCTGAGCAAGAATTTTCTTTTCAAACATAAGTCACAACTGGGAAAGAACTGTAACCGCTTTGCTTACATTTTGTGCTATCAAATACTAATATCTGTAAACTTTCAAACATTTTATTTTTTTAAGTTATGAAACATACATCATATAAAACAATAATTTATGACATTTCAATCAAATCAGTGTGAAATAAATTTTAAAGTTTTATTTCCATTTAAAATATGGTTATCGTAGCGTCAACATAATTATAGTGATTGAATTAACTTGTTTTATCATTTTTTGCAAATTCATTATCTATTCTCATCATTAAAATTATTATATTCAGTCAGCATGTATGAGAATTTTCCCCCCGAGGTATGTCTGGTTGTGTAGTGCAAGTGTCGGATTCTTTGATCAACTTTTTGTCTTGTACTGAAATGTGATGGCTCACGGCATTAATTTCGTCTTTTTTAAAGCTTTTACAGTTGATGACGTTGTATACAGCAATATACCATTAAGATAGCATTTAAAGTCTAGACACATACAAAATTAAAAATCACTTTTTGCTGCAGAAATTTTAATATTGGTACCAACCTTACTGCTATTTTTTGAAGACTTTAAGTAGCTTGGCTTCCGCTATACAATTTCGTGATAAATAGTGAGCGATACAACTTAGCATTACTTTTACCAAACAAATCCCGTTTTTGCTCATTTTACCATTCCTGGAAGTTTTGTAGGAATACAGCATCAACTGAAAACAGTTGAACAAAACAGTATATAGGAACAATGAAAGTGATACGAAATACATAATTATATATATACTCTATTATTGTAACCGCAGTAAAATAGCAAAGAGCAACAAAAACATTTGTAATTATTTGGTGAACCTACCCTCAGACATACAAAAAAAGAAAGAAAAAAGATCATTTTTAGGTTCTTTTAGTAACTGACGTTTTATCTTATTTTATGATAGAGTGTTAATGTACTTACGTTGTCTTATTTGGTATTTCAGGTTTATTTATTTTACGTGTAAAGAAGCCATTTTGAAATGCTTTCCATGTGGTTGTGCCATATGCCATTATATAGTCATGCTTATGAGTCTGACGGGCTGTCTTGCAATAAGCTATTTTACCTAGCATTCGAATCACGCATATTAAAGCGAGTGCTCACGTGATTGCATCTTTTCTCAGTTTTGCAGTTTGTGTGCAAGAATACTGACAAGTGTCTATTTCGCTATTGCATGCACAGCATAAATGACATTTCTATTTTGACAAATGAGATATATACTTTTTGCAGTACTCAATATAGAGCCATTTTTCGGAAAACCTATTGTCATAGGACACAGGCAATATAAATCTCAATTATTAATTTTAAGTTGCTTTCAAGGTCAGATTTTATATGTAATTATGTTTATTGATAAGAATACAAACTAATTCATGTGAATGTAAATTGAAAAAAACTAAACATTGTGAACAAACATAAACATACATGTATATTGGCTTTTGTACTTATACACAATGCAGAAAAAATTTAAAATTAACAATCATTGATATAAAGATATTCTACCAGCACTTGTTTTCAGCAGACCAAATACGAAATATCGTATGTTTTATTATGCAGACAGACATACATTTTCAAACTGAAATTTTCTGAAAGAATAATGCTTTTTTCTCATTTTTACTGAAATAAACACTTTTCTATCAGTCTATGCAAAAAAGTAGCATTTGACTGTATATAA